AAAAAAAAAAAAAAGAAAGAAAGAAAGAAAGAAATATTCAAGGCTTCCCTTGTAGAAATCTTTCACATCAAAATTAGGAAATTCAATATGAGTATTCAGGGTTTCCTTTGTGAAAATCTGTGATACCAAAATTTAGAAATTCAAAACTAAGAACATGTAACATGCTACATGTACAATGACTCTTAAGCTTCCTTTCCTAAACCTTTAAGTGCTAGCAGGTCTAAGGTGATCCGTGTAAGGTATCAGAGAGGTCCTTCTAGGAAGTTCACTTTAAGCTGGTTTTACCACATGCTTACAAAATTCATGAAATTTAATGAAGTCTTAGTAGGCGTAAGTAACTTCTCTAAGAGCCATCACTCTACGTAAGCGATTCGTATATAATTTCTATCAGAGTATATTATATATACAGCTGCTGCACCTCCATTTTGGCATTTGTCCATCTTGGAACTTCAACAACCATGTTGCAGATTGTTTTCTACAATTCAAAATGAAATAAATAACAAATGTTTAGTACATATTAATACTATATTATATATCCAGTTGAACAATCTTGATATTTAAAGCATGCGATAATTTTAATGAGAAAAATGTACACAATGTGCGATAAAAAAAACGTCTAACAAAATCACAATTCCTCAAGCTGATTTTTTGCCACAAAAAAACAAAAAACAAAAAACAAAAAACAAAACAAAAACAAAAAAGAAACAAAAAAGCTACAATCATGTATGTCAAGTATGCATAAGAGTCCTGATATGGTTTTGTACACTAATGTTAACGATTGTTAAATGTACTACAGTACCTACCTCAGTATTGGCAAACAATGGAATATCGTGGAAGGGAGAGATGGCTTGGCCATTGCCATCACCTGACAATAAAATGGTTGCAGTAAGTAACATGGAAAAATGTGCAGTGATAAATATGGTGACAGATTTGCTTTTGTTTTGTCTGCACGAAAGGAAACAATTTTTTTATTTTTCGGGGTGGCAAATGGTCCTTCAAAAACCATAGGCCTGGCAAAATTATCATCAAATTTCATGAGTATCGTAGTTGTTTTTTTTAGCGGTTATATGCGTCTTGCAGTCTCAATTTTGTTTACGAGTGTCAAAGACTGATTGGTTTGTTTGCTTTTTCCTCATAAATGATGTCTGAATGTCTTAAAACCTGACTGTCTCAAGCTTGCGTGTCAAACACTTTGAAGTCTCAGTCTTGTAATTGAAGAAGTAAAAATGTTTCAGGCTCGCAAAGAAAAACACTAGTCTCGCCTTCTCACAAAGTCTTGCATTTACCATTCCCCAACCTTATTTTCATAAGACAATTTTAAACCATTTTTGAAGAAGCATGTGGTAGATTTTCAATAGACTGTGCATGGACACAAGGGAAACAAGTTTTGGTTCAAGAGATGTTTTAATAAGATACAAAATGCCTGCGCGATGCCGACTGCTTTCAGCTTAACAAATACTGTCAGGGTTCTCATTTTCAAATTTCTAAGTTTGACTGTATAGGAAGTACAGATTCTGCTGGATTATGATTAATTTTGCAAGTCAAGTTCTAATCTGTTCTTTTTTCCCATGGTTTTTAAGAGAGAGTACAAATGTCACCTTCTGAATAATCAAACTTGACTTTGCTGCTGCTATATTTTATTTTGCTGTTTGATTTTGTTGCTATTTAAGTGTGAATGTAGTGTATGTAGGTCTAGCTTAGCTAAATTAATTTTTTATGCCGCCATTGACTTGACCAATTGGCGATGTCCAACCAGAAATTAAAGCTCTTGCTACTTGCTCACTGCTCACATGTGAATATTATTTTGTTACTGCAAATATTTCTCAATTTTTAACTATTTTCATTACTTTACCATATAAAATGTGTGTAAATGCCCTTTATAGTCAGGGCTGTACTCTAGAAGCACCCGGGTGCCACAGGAATCTGGCTTTTGCCTTTGGGCGACTGGAAAAACTTTTTTTCATATAAGCATAAGTGATCAGCACTGCACCCAGGATTTCATGGTTAGGAACCTATGGGATCCTTGTAATTTTTCTTAGAACACAGCTTGATAGTGTAAATAAAGAATTGAACTGAATTGAATTGTACATCCGCTCTTCGCTTCATGCACCTTAACAATACCCCTCCACACCTATGGTTAGCCAAATGTTGCAAAATTCAACAACTTGCACTTTCATATTCAACAACTTATATTTACGTTCAACAACATATATTTATATTCAACATTTTATATTTATATTCAACAATACGCATTTTCTTCCAACTTCAACCAAAATTCTTTTCATTCAACAAAAATATTTGTTCAACTTCAACCAAAAATAATTTCATTCAACAACAATATTCATTCAGCTTCAACCCAAATGATTTTTATTCAAAAAAAAAAAAACTATTCAGCTTCTACCAAAATCATTTTCATTCAGCAACAATATTTGTTCAACTTCAACCACAATTATTTTTATTCAACAATAATAATTATTCAACTTCTATCATGTATAGTGATTTAATAACATACCTTCTTTTATGACAAAGGTTTTGAAAGTTCCCGGACATTCAAAATATCGTCATTCAATAAAATTCCCCGTCCCTCCCCCCGAACTACCCCAAACGCTGTCACAAATCCCTAGTGTTCACTGAAAGCGTAAAACTGATGCAAGTGAAATCATCCACAATTCTGCTCAAAACCCATTTTTCTTCTTACGAAGCTTTGTCTCAATAAATTAAAACGTTCTTTAGCTTGATATAAACACAATTCGTCTCTGAAAATAGTCGCAATTCATAACAGACTGTCTGATCCGAGTCCGCAGTAATAACGACATACAAAACCGAATTCACGCACCAAAGATCCTTGTATGAACATGCGATTGGTGCCTATCGATAACCCTTGAAATGTTATTTTCCCCTCCACTAACTATGAAACGAGGAAGGCACTTTCTAAACCTCCGATAGTGCGGCGATTAAAATCAACATACGAACGAACGGCCGTCACGCAATATGCATGTCTCAAGCTGTGACCGACCTCTATGTATGTTGCCTGTCGGAAATAAACTCTGTCTTAGACTTGTTTGTCGCTCTTTCCTTGATCATCCGTCCTAGTATGCGTAAATTTTGCCGGCGAACAGTTCTCTATGCCATTAAAGAATTTTTTTGTTTGGGAGACAGAACCAAAATAATATAAATAAAGTATAGACAAGACCCAGACAAGGCTAATCTTTGGATATAGGGAAAGTCTTAGACTTGTTTATTTCTCGCTCTTTCCTTGACCATCNCCAAAATAATATAAATAAAGTATAGACAAGACCCAGACAAGGCTAATCTTTGGATATAGGGAAAGTCTTAGACTTGTTTATTTCTCGCTCTTTCCTTGACCATCCCTCCTATTAGATTTTACCATTAAAGCAGTTTTGCTTTAAAGGTTTGCTTTACCTTTTAATCCTCGGTCGATTTAGCTACCCTGAATTAAAGAAACGATAACAAACAAGCATATTGGAAAGGGATACCCATATCACTAGGAATTGGGTATCCCACTTTCCCAGTTATCAAAGGACTTCGTCTTGTCTACTTTATTTGCATTTTTCATAGATGTCTCCGAAGAAAAAAACTGCTTTAATGGCAAAATCTAATAGGAGGGATGGTCAAGGAAAGAGCGAGAAATAAACAAGTCTAAGACTTTCCCTATATCCAAAGATAACTTTTGGTTTTGTCTCTGAAACAAAAAGATTCTTTAATGGCATAGAGAACTGTTCGCCGGCAAAATCTACGGCCGTCGATAAAACCAGGAACATGGAACATTCCGGAACATCCCGGAACATCTAATAATTATCATAATTATGCGAAAAATATGTAAAATGAAATTTTAAAACTAAAATAAACAAAAATAAACTGGTATCAGCTTGAAATATGAAAAGATATTATTGGGGATAGGGGAGTCGGTAGCAGAGGGGTAGGGGCCGGAGCGTTGGGTGTTCATTCTACCGACCACAATGAGTGTAGGCTCCCCTTCTTTCCCGCCAATTGCGTCACGTCGCTTTTCAGCCCTCTGTTCAGTTTCAACACAAACATGGACGATTCTGACGATGAATGCCAGGTAATTCATTGCGTCTCCTTTTTTTATCCCTGATTTCTTCAACTTAGAAATATGCGGCTTCTTTTCGCGTACAATTTCTACAGCTTTAATATATCGTTGTTGAGTTAAGTTTTGCACCGAGAAACTGGAAAATACTCGCAGAAAATTGCTAGAATTTTAAGAAATAAACACAGCATTTTCGTGCCGAACGCTGCTACTTTTAATCCTGGAAAGAAATTTGATCGGGGCAGATTTTGATCACCTGCTAGGCAACCACTTCTGAGCCGTGAGCTCGCGTCACGCAATCAACAAAACAACGCTATAGCTTCATCTAAACACTTGATTACCTTGAGCCTAAAATTTACCTTTTCTTCTCAAAATCGTTATTAAAAATTTAGTCGGCGAATGGCTTGCCAGGGTCCTTGCCCGTGGGGCAAGTAAGGAGAGACAGTTGCTTGCCCGAAGGGAAAATCTACTTGTACCGGACGACCGGACGGGGGTTTTTTCGAGCCCTGCGGAGGTTTAGAAAGCGCCTTTCTCGTTTAAAATAGCGTGCATTTCCAGGGTTATCGATAGGTACCAATCGCATGTTCATACAATGATCTTTGGCGCGTGAATTCGGTTTTGTATGTCGTTATTACTGCGGACTTGGATCAGACAGTCTGTTATGAATTGCGACTATTTTCAGAGACGAATTGTGTTTATATCGATCAAGCTAAAGAACGCTTTAATTTGTTGAGACAAAGCTTCGTAAGAAGACAAATGGGTTTTGAGCAGAATTGTGGATGATTTCACTTGCATCAGTTTTGCGCTTTCAGTGAACACTAGGGATTTGTGACAGCGTTTGGGGTAGTTCGGGGGGAGGGACGGGGAATTTTGTTGAATGACGATATTTTGAATGTCCGGGAACTTTCGAAACCTTTGTCATAAAAGAAGGTATGTTATTAAATCACTATGCATGATAGAAGTTGAATAATTATTATTGTTGAATAAAAATAATTGTGGTTGAAGTTGAACAAATATTGCTGTTGAATGAAAATGATTTTGGTAGAAGCTGAAGAATTATTTTTGTTGAATGAAAATCATTTGCGTTGAAGTTGAACAAATATTGTTGTTGAATGAAATTATTTTTGGTTGAAGTTGAACAAACATTTTTGTTGAATGAAAAGAATTTTGGGTGAAGTTGAAAGAAAATGTGTATTGTTAAATATAAATATAATACAATGAATATAAATATATGTTGTTGAACATAAATATAAGTTGTTGAATATGGAGGTGCAAGTTGTTGAATTTTGCAACATTTGCTTAACCATAGGCGTTGACATTAAATTCGTTCAATGTAACACCGTGGGACAAATTTTTCAAAATTCGCTCAAATCTCGTTTAAACTCTCCAAGATGAGAAAAAATGACCCCATTGAATGTTCAAGAGTCTTTATTCGGTAAATTACCCATACACTGAACGAATTTAATTCGGTTTTTAACTGCTGATACGGTTTTTACTGCGACAATGTACTTTACCGACATCTTGCTGCACGCGACACTCAATGAACCCGCGACAATTTTCCCCGCGACCCGCGCATATTAGAAAATCCCCACACATACACGATCCGGGCCAGTTTTAAACCCGTTGCGATACTTTTTACTGAGAAGTCTGGAAAAATACTGACGGGAGCCTTTTGTGCCTGGAGTTCAAGAAACTTGAACGTAACTGTATCTCTCAATTTACCTCATCTCTCGAGATTAATTTTTCTGGGGTTTGATAGTCAACCTAGTTGCAATGTGCAAAGTCTAAGGGACGGGCCGCAATTTGGGTAGACAGGCCTCGATTTTTACCCGAAGTCAACGTTTACGGCAAAATGAGACTGCCTGTAACTAATCTGTTTGGAATGGAAGTCTTTTCGTTCACTTCAGCCGGTAGTTTGGTGCATAATCGACATCAAACGCCGAAAAAATGTTCCGCTGAAGAACGCCGCAGATGATTTTTTGGACGTGCTAGTGGTGGGGCACCAGAGCATGTGGCTGCTTCCTCTGTCTGGGGGCAGCAGTAGCCGCTAATCAAACTCGGCCGAGGCTTCTTACCCAAATGTTTTATTTCTTCAGTCTTCTAGGGGGAAATAGAAAACAACAACCTCTGGAACCAATGGTAGCGGCTTCTATTTATACCTGTAAGTATTGATGAACAGAACTGTTGAGAGTCTGACTCAAAGACTTTCTTACACCAAATTTGATTGAGAGACTCTCAAGGTTTAATACTCTTGTCAGCGCACAACAGACAAGTCAGACAACTGGCTTTGTGAATAGATAAGCGATTTGTTTAAAACTTCTTTTGTCATGTTCTTCCCGATACGATATCTAAATTGCTGTTTATTGCTTATGAGTGTACTCCGTTTGCTAAACGGTCCAATAAACTTTCAGCAATCATGTGAAAACTACATGCCATGGGTAGTGTTATACGAAGCCACACTGTGCTTACCACAAGTGATAGGTTTGACAGGCCATGTTAGTTCAACGTAGTACTGTGAAATGCCACAATGTTCAGAACAAGTACTCTATGTACGATCCATCAAAAAATTAACTTTTTTCTCTTTTATCTTTACAATCTTCTTGTCTTTCTGGGCTTACATCCATTATGGGGAACAGGAGTAACATCGGTAACAGAAACAACCTGCACTCCAGCGGATTCAATACCATTCACAGCACCCTGAAAAGAAATCCAGTGGACCAGGTTAATATGACCACTATTAAATACTAGTCAATCAATCGATTATCGCTCGATCATCGCTTAGAACAGTCCATGAACTCTCTCTAGGGCGTGGAATGTAGAGTTCAGAGACTAATCGTATGTTGACTCGACTCAATATTTGTTTCTGTTACTTATCATGTATTTTGACTCTCATTACTAATGTGGTAAATTTACAAACACAATAATTCTTCGGGACTCCAAAAAGTGGATGTTAGGTACATTGATGGGATGGTCATATTATACCCAATTTCAGGTTAAAAAACTGACTTAGGTTTTGTTCACGTTAGAAAAGTAAACAGACAAGGTGCGGTATGAAAGGGAAATTCATAGGGTGTATTCTACTTTAAAAATAAAGAAATGATATCAAAACCCGAGAGAGAAGAGAAAACTCCTATGTGTAAGCTATATGGGTACTGAAAAAGGCTTAAACCTTCCATCTAACTCAAGAATGGTGTGAATGCCTCTGATCCTCCACAAGAAGTAACTCCAGTGTAACCTATTTGGCCCCGTTTAAATTGAAAATAAGCACAGCATTATAACAAATCCTAGGGAAATAACAAGTGTTATACTTGTGACTGGTATACCTTAACATTTACATGTGTAAACACTCTTACCTGCCTTCCTGTTCCTATACCACGGACTTTAATTCGCGCTCTCTCTACTCCATTAGAAATGGCTTTCTAAAGTGAAGCATTGGAAAAAGAAATTGTCTAGCAAAAGTAACCCCAAAAGCACCACTAATTATTAGATTACGAGCTTGAGATTTCTATCAGATGATATTCGGCCTCATCAACTTAATCTCATAGAATCTCGCGCTCATAATCTAACTGTTTTAGCAGAATTCTACCTGAAATTTCCTTGAAATAACGATTTCCAGTCATTTCTCTATGAAGTATTGAACTTCAAAGTGCACAGACTAAATTTCAGTTGAAATTTGCAGTTGTTTATGCAAGCTTGTCAGTTTTTCAACAATTCAGTTTTCAAAGTCAAGAAACCGTGAGTGTTCCCTTCTCTTGTTTTCTCTGGAATTAAATTTTTCGTTTGTTTTCTAGTGTTCCTCTGAAACTTAAGAAAAAGGGAAAATTGTCACCATTTTGTTGACAACCTAGAGCCACTGTACACTAACGGGTGATAGTGTACAATAGCTCAGCCAATAAGATTGCAGCATTTGCAATTGTTTGTCACTAACCTCAATCCAAAACAACTTTAAAAAGGTACAGCTAAACAGAATATCATTATGGCAAACAGTTTCCAAAGTCTGATGACAGAATTGAAGACCAGTTGGAGGTTCCTTAGACTTTTTAAAAACACTTTATCTTGAAAGGAGGATGAAGAGAGCGAGCTTAAACAGGAATCTTACATCCAGAACGGAGAAAATCCTTGGATCATAAAAATCACGAGACACTAGGTTAAAATTATTAACTTTTTATAACACCACAAACTTAAGGCAACTGTAAAATTATTCAACAAAACCACAAAATGAAATAGGAGAAACAAGGGGGAAGAATGCTAAAAAAAATAAAAGAAAGAAGCCTCACCTGGTTAAAAAAATATAATTAGAAGTTTTTGTTAATGCTTTTAAGAGAGTATTCAGAGTTTGGCTGAACGTCTTGAGATGATGGTAGACTGAGGTGTTTAATTGAGGCTTTTGGGGAAAAAAATGGAAGTGAAAAGTGACCTTTACACAAACATTTCCTACATTTGCATTTATATCTTGCACATACTGAAGATATGTTTACTTTATATATGGGTTATTGACCAAGCGTGGGATCAAAATGGATGGATATTGGCCAAGTTCATTATTTTGTTTTACAAGTTGATGGACCTCTACTCCATCTCTGTTCAAAAACATGGAAAAAGAAGAATGAGGCCAATATCGAGCCATCTTGAATGAAAAAACTTGGTCAATAAAGCATTTACTATAAACTATGGGGAAAATTTTTCTTGTGGAACACAGTACATACTGTAATCCTGCATGGGCAAGAAAGCGCCATCTTGCCTGCTTGGGTAGCCAATTACAGTGTAGGATTTGGCTCATCATACCCCCTTATGGAACTTGCCATATAATAAGGAAACCTAGTATTGGTGTCTACATTACATAACTGGTCAGGGGCTGCACAATGAGCCTTTAAACGATGCATACCTGAGCAGCTGCTATACCAGCTTGTCTTCCTGCTGTGCTACTACCACGCCTAGCATTCTGGAAACCTTCACTACCCTGAGGTCATGAAAAGTTAGAGTCTAATAAGAAAGCTACATTAGCCACATTGACAAGCATTTTAAAGCAACATGAAATAAATGACTGTCTATTAATCAAATTACTAAATATCTACTTACTGCTGACACCCATCCTAACATTTTACCTAGAAAAGAAGTGACCAATATTACAAAACATTGCACCATGATGCACTGTAGTTAAAACATAGTTGCAAGTGTTTGATGGTAATCAATAATAAAATGCCCTGCATTAAAGTATTGTCTTTCCCTTACCATCTTTGTCTGATACTGTGATAATTGTGTTGTTAAAGGTGGCATTGATATGAATCACAGGTAGATGAGTGTACTTTGCAATTTGAGTAGCACGTCTCTTGTGATGCTTCTTTATATCTAGGTGTGAGCCTGCTGATCTAAAATATAGAGAATGAAAATATATTTAACAAAATCCTCAGTCACAATTATCACATCTACACTTTAGAGATAACAGTCAAGTCAAACCTCCCATAACTGTGTGGCCTATGAACCAGAAAAGTGTCTGTCTATTGCAGGTTACATGTACATGTTTAGCATTTGTATGTTGCTGAAAGCATAATAGTGCCTGCTTAAAAGAGGTGTCTGCTTACAGCAGGCTATATGTTTAGTGTTTGTATGTTGCTATACATTGTGTACCACAGCAGTGCCAGCTTATGATGGGTTTGTCTATGGCAGGTTATAGAGTGTCTTTGTACTGTAGCATTTGTATGTTGAGCTGCTACCATAACAGGTGTCCGCTCATGGCAGGTTATACCATATGTATGTAGGCATCTCTATATTGCTGCTTCCATAACAGTATCCATTTATGAAAGGTGTCTGTCTTTAGGAGGTTAGTGTCACTCTGCCACATTCCCCAAATGGCCATCATGAATTGATGTCACTATGTAGTAACTATGACATTTAATAAAACTTCAGTGGAGTACTTTCTGAAGCTTAAGGGTTATGTAGTCGAATCTCCGGTTACAACCACCTCTCGTAAGTAGCCACCTCTCCTCAGCGACCAGTTTTCCAACATACCAAAAGTTTCCAAGTCAAATCACTATATTTGGAACCTCTTGTAAACGACCACCTCTCGTCAAAGACCGCAACCACTTTGAGAACTGAAAGTTTGAAATTTTCTATTGTTTTTAACCTCTCGTAAGTAACCATTTGATAGATAATAGAGCAGAAATTGGAAAATAAGGTGTTGTAACAATATCGCATTCCTGGATAGTACAAGGGATGGAGATTTCTCAATGGGAAGTACCGAAAGTTTTCTCGAAATGACTTTTCACATGAATAAAACATTTAAAACATGGGGTAAGCCTCTGCAGTTACCATATGCTAATGAGGCAAAATTTTGACCCAATATGGTCTAAGCTCTCGTAAGCGACCACCTCCTGTAAGCGACCACCTAGGCTTGACATTTTGAGTGGTCGCTTATGGGAGGTTCGACTGTAGATGATAATTTAATATTTTCTTTGAAGAAGAAAATACATGTTTTGTAAATAAACTGGTGGTAAAATTTAAAAACATTCTCTGGCTAAACATATTATAAAAACACAAGCTTTTCACTGCCCTAAATTGTAGTCTTCAATGGGTGAAATGACAAAAAAGGTGCTAAAAATTCTAAAATATAATGGGATAAAAAGAATACAACAGAATAAAGGTATGGAATTAAACTTAAGAATTTTAGTTCAAAAGAATGCTGTATTGTTTTGGGAGCGGACAAGAGTTAAAGCCTTTTTGACGACGGTGCTTATTGTCATTCAAAATACTCCAAGTGGCAACCATCTTCAAATTTACAACCTGATATTGGAAGATATTTTATTAAGTGGAAAAAAGAACATATAAGGAATGTCAAAATGGCATATGCGTCCCAAAAAAGTCTGGAAATTTTTGGTAGAGTTTTTCTGGCTGTACTGCCTGTACTGCTTCCATGTAGCCTTGTAAGTATTGCTCTACTGCACTCTATTGTACTTGACTGTACTCTACTCTACCGTGCTCGACTGTACTCCATTGTACTCTTCTCCCAAACTTTCACAAGTGTTTCCATTAAACAATTAGACTATGAGCTCGTGATTTCTATCGCATGACAGTTGATGAGGGCACAGCCCGAGTCAACTATCAGGCATAGAAATCGAGAACAAAATAATAATCTAATTGTTTTAGTATAAATCTACCAGTCGTTCAAATCTTAATCTAAATCCTCTTCACAGACACTTTGAAAATGCCAAGAAGCAGCTGTCATTTTGTTAACAAGGGGACACTGCTATGCTACTCACTATCTATCACAGAATAAATAGTGAGTACCTAGCCAATCAGAGAACGGCATTCGTGATAGAACGCTAGTAGATTTATACTGAAACTTGATAGAAACATGGAGAAAAAGACTTGTTTTCTATTTGTTTTAGAAAATTCTGTGACAAAAAAAGAAAACAACTTGTTTACTTTGAGGATCAAAAATTAATGTAAATTCTCTTTGCTCATGCCATCATTGCGTTAAAGAGCTCATGCTAGTTCTGTGTTTCTATTGAGAGAAACACACTTTTAAACCAATCAGCGTGTGTATTTTATTATTTTCATACAAAATTCTTATATCCAGAGTAAACTCATTATTTATTATTACCATCAGTGCCGTTTCCACTCTCAGAGTAAAAAACACATAGCTGTTACTTTGCATGTATAGCTGCAATAAACATTTGAAGAAGCTAGTCATAAAAGGGGATAAGTGACGATTTTGGTTGCTTTTCTTTTTTTTTTGCTCCGAATTAGCTGAATTTTTGCATGTGCTCTTCACTGTAATAGAAAAACGTGGTTCTGTATTTTTGTCGCTGGTTTTTGCTTTGTTTTCGAGTTAAAACGTAGGCNTTGGCTATTATAACAAAGGATCGGCTCTGTTTATCATGACAAAGGCCCAGCTTCGTTTATTCAAAGGCCTCGGCGGGAAAAGGGCGTTAGGTATTTTAATCAAAAGTGAACTTTGTCGAAAACGCTCCAAATTTCGCATGCAGTTTTGTTTAGGTATGCTTAGCAATGTCCCGTAGTTTTTCCACTAAACTTTGCTTCGTTTTCGGGATATTGCGTATGCAAAAAACCACTCGGTTTTCCTAGCGGCGTCTTTATAAAACGAACCAAAAAACCAGTGGCAAAAATACAGGGACACGTTTTTCTATTACAATGAAGACCACATGCAAAAATTCAGCTAATTTGGAGCAAAAAAAAAGAAAAGCAACCAAAATCGTCACTTATCCCCTTTTATGGCTAGCTTCTTCATTTTACCTTCTAATTGGCAGTAAGTTACCATGTTCCAGTATTCCTGCTCTGTCTTTTCCAAGAAGTGTTTGAAAAATGGACCAAGTTATAGGCTGTACGCTCTGAACTCCACCAAACTGTAATTTTCTTGAAAGTATTTGAAATCGATTTCTTATTGATCCTATAGGAGAAAATTACAGCATAAATAATTATTTAGAATTATCAGCAAATTATATGGTTTCCCTTTTATGTTTGAAGATAAAAAGTCTCTGATAAAGAGATAGATATGTTTATATATAATTATAATATAGATAGGACCCTGCACATGCTCTGATTGGTCAAAAACCCATGTTTTATCGAGTATAAAATATAGAAAAAGTGTGTTTCATTGTTTTTTGCCTATATCATAAAGCAAATAACGAAGCCTAAGCCGTGTAGTACACTGTAATAAAACACTCCGAACATTTGAGAACACTGGAGAAATGTAGAAAACATTCGCCTGCGGCTCATGTTTTCTACATTTCCCTCATGATCTCAAATGCCCATCATGTTTTATCACAGTGTAATACATGGCTTAGGCTTCTTTATTTCTGAAATAATGTATGGTGTTATGTTCTAGGAAGAAAGTAAATCCATATCAAATTGCACACCAAATTGGAAAAATATATGACCAATTTTCAAAGCAAGAAAGGTTGAATACCATACCCTTTTGGGCAAGGGTTTAGAACACAGTCCAAACCCAATGCACAATTTGAAACTGTGCCAAATGCTGTCCTACATTTGCAGACCATAAAACAAAGAAGTGGCCACACCACACCACACCCCACTGTTTATAGAACAAAAAATAAAGATGGTTGTTTCAAATCAGAAGCAAATGTCTGCAAATGTTGCAACTAAATAGAAGTCACTGTGGTAATTTTACTGGTTGATGATGGTAGCTTTAATCTGATTGCAGTCACATGCATAAAAACTTCACTCCCTCAATGTCAATGCCACATGGCCTTTAGCAATGGCTAAGAGGCATTTTTTGATTTAGGAAATCACTCCACAGTGTAAACCTAGATGGTTAGAGTGGCCAACTGGTGTCTGGGAGATCATGGGTGCAGTTCCCACTTAATACTCACATTTTGTCTCTATACCATGCTCCTGACCCCCTAGCTCCTGACATGCTTAGACTTTGTATCTTTAGGGTGGTGCCTACTTTTGTTAGTGTGCACACATTCTACGCATAATGCAAGGCATAGTTTAAACACCATGCACAGGCTAGGGTAGGAATTGATGAAATCAACTAGGCCACCAAACACAACTAAAATGAGAGCAAAATTTTTTTACTGTGACCAAATCAAGTTTAATAAACCTGTCCCAAAACAAAGAACACTAAAATAGCAGCATATTGCTAACAACTTAGTGCTAATGGCTTCCAACCGGAATATTAGCTGCTGTCCATAAAAACTCTACCGAAATCAAAGTGTAAACCTGCACCTGAAGATGGCATAGCATGCACACAAAACAAGTAGGAGAGATGAAAATATTTGACTTTTTGGAGAGATTACGGGAAAAAATGTAACAGGCACCAAACAATTTAAAAAAAAACCATGAAAACAACTCATTTAGACTGCAGACTGTAGTCTTTTGAACAGAATTGTGTTACCATTTCCATCATGCACTCATTCAAACACAGTCCGCATTTTACCCTCAGTCTTCATTTTACTCCCTGTTTGTATTTAGTAGGTGCCACAGTCAGTGTAAAATGCAGACTGCTAACTGCAGACCGTTGGTAAAATGCAGACTGTAGACTACAGACTGTATATATTGTGTTATTACCACTATTGAGTGCTAACCATAAACAGGGTTATTCAATATAATCATAGTGAAAGTCTGCACTCCGGTTAGCCTGAATATCACTCAGGTTAGCCTGAATAAGGGGAGGTGCGGTAGCCTTATGGTTAGTGCACTTGTTTCCAGAGCAAGCAGTCCGGGTTCGAGCCCTGGCCGGGGACACTGTGTTGTGTTCATGGGCACAACACTTAACTCTCACAGAGCCTCTCTCCACCCAGGAGTATAAATGGGTACTGGTAAATTGTTGGGGAATCCTAACAAATTGTGGGGGAGTGACCTGCGATGGACTAGAATCCTGTCCAGGGGGAGTAGAAATACTCCCAGCCGGTTCATGCTACATAAACCGGGACAAGCTCCGGCAGCTATGAGCCATTCGGCTCCAAGGCTTCACTTTTCTAGCCTGAATAACGTTTCAGTTAGCCTGTTTACGGTTTACTGTCAACTGTTCACCGTGAGCTCTTAATGATAGAAACGGAAACATTATTCAGTTAAAAAGACTACAGTCTGCAGTCTGCATGTTACACTCAGTCTGCACTTAACACCCGGTCTGCAGTCTGCGTTTTACACGGACCGGTAGGCACCGTTTTTAACATTTTACCCCCCCAAAAAACAATTCACCATCTTTCATAAATTTAGTAGAGGGTATTAGTTTCGGGGTATTAAGTCCTAGTTTTTGAAACACCTTAGAATAGATAATTATGTCAAGAGTGTATAAAATATACAGTAGTAGACGTATTTTGTCGTAAAAGCACACACTCTCTAGCCAGAATGCCTGAAGAACACACCCCGTGATTCACAAAAATGCATGGCTAATTAAGTATGGGGTGAGACATTGATCTTGCTAACTTCTCTTTTTTCCCTTTTAAGTTCATAGGAATCAATCTAAGAGGGTGGTGCGCTGTACATATATATGTCTACAGATGTCTAGCCGTATGTACAAACCTTGCAGCATGGACGCCATCTTGTATTGGCTTGGTCACCAGGCCTTACTTCGAGAAGGAAGAAGAAGGCCAAGCGATTTGCTGGAACCCGCTAAAGAGTCGCTAAATACTCAGCCTGAGGAGGGATTGTCATCTTTCCGCCCCTTTGCTGGAATTTGCTTTTGATCGAAAAATGTCCAGGGAGAAAAGGAGATATCAAAGTGAAGATGAAGGTTTGTTATCCCTTGGTTGATTAAGTTGAAGTCTTAGAAAGCTTAGCTCATCGTTCGAAATTGCTGCTGACTACGGTTGCCTTATGTAAACTTGATTTTTTCTATTCTTTGGGCTCACGTTACTGTTTATTGTTGTGTTGTTAGGGTAAGCTTTTCAAAGATAGTCGTTTCCGCCTTACCGGTGTTTAACAGGTCTCTATTTAATGCTGTCCGAGCGCGCGCGCACGAGGGTTTTGTTAAAACAACATGCCGTCTAGTCTATGGAACAGAAATGTTGCTTTGTTCGGGATAGAGTACCAATTTGCGAGTTTATTTTCTCATGAAAATATAACAGTGTATTGTTCGGGAGAAAACTAAAGTTTGCACGACCTTCCGGTATCACAGGGATCACTAAGGCCATTTTTGAAGTGGTGGGGGGGGGAGGGGGGAGGGGGGGGGGGGGGGAAGGGGGACAGTGGAGGATTTGACCTGCGAGCACAGGATTGGTTGCCTCTTGTTGCCTGGGATAGGAGGGCTGAATTGCTTTTGCAAAAGGATTCTCATGGATAGATCTGCATGATTTGTTGGGATATTTAATTGAATATCTAATTTTTGCCATTTTGCGGCCTACATTTGAGTGAACATATGTGAAAGAGAAAATCCTTGGAGCAAGGGTAGAAGTACGTTGTTGATTTCAACAACAACAACAACAACAACAAAGGATGTTTCATAGCCTACAAAAGAAAGATTTAAATATGTGAGAGACCATTGCAATACAGTGGAACCTCGATTTAACGAACCTCTATTTAATGAAGTCCTCGATATAACGAACGATATTCTATGTCCTGGCCAAAGTTACAGTAAAATGTATGGAATAGAACCTCGATATAATGAACCTCTATATAACGAATTCTTCGATATAATGAACATAATCCGGAAGCCCAAACGTAAAATCTACCTCGATATAACGAATTACAATGTCAACACGCGACAGAAGATTAACGCTGAACAGATCAACAGTCAACAAATGCTTGTAATCCTTATGGTATAACCTCTATGTTGCAACATTTTCAAATCGCTACTCTGAAAGTGTCATTCTTTTGTAAACAAAAGCTGCGCATCTGCTTAAAAGTGAAAATAATTGATATTGAAAGCCACCATTCTTAATGAATTGCATCTCAGAACGCGGCACTTCTAGGTGACGAAAACTGAATTGAATTGCGTGACAGAAGTCACCTGTGTTACAAATCAATCATTAACTATGACCTCGATATAACGAACATTTTGGTTGTTTCCTCTCAAATTCATTACATCGAGGTTTTCTATATAATGAACCCTTGATTTAACGAACAAATTTGGCCGGTCCCCAGTGACTTTGTTAAATCAAGGTTCCACTGTAATGCACACAATTTAGGTAGTCATAGAAATATCCAGATTTCTAATCAGTGGAAATAAATGATTTGAAAAGCAATCAACTAATCAATCTCAATCAATAAAATTAGGTCATTGCTATTGATTGGTTTTGGTCAATCAATGATCAACTGGAAAAAGTTCAGGCTTGATTACAGCATAATTCAAAACCATGACCTTTGCAATGCTGGTGTAGTACTTTACCAACTGAGCTATCAAGTCAACTGGGGGCTGGTCTTGTAACTTGTGACTTCCATAAGACAATGTCCATGAAAAAATATGTCTGGGGCAATGCCTACGGCTAAATTCTCTTCTTATAGGTATAAGCAGTTTTTGTACTTTCCCCCTTAAAAAAAGAAACTACAAAAACAAAAAAATAACTGAGGCAAGTGCTTTGGTTTGCCTCATACTGGCTATGGTAAAGTCTGCATCTGAGCCAAGTGGCCCATCAGTCTGGGGCTTATCCTGGTTTCTGTGGCATGAAGCGACTAGGAATATTTCTACTCTCCCCTGGATGGGATGCTAGTCCATCGCAGTGTTACTCCCAGCATTAAGTTCACCATTAACCATTCATACACCTGGGTGGAGAGAAGCACTGTCAGAGTAAAAGTGTCTATAATGCCCAAGAACACAACACAGTGTCCCCGACCAGGGCTCAAACCCGGACTGCTTCATCCAGAGACGAGCACACCAGCCATGAGGCCACCATGCCTCCCTCATACTGACTATGGCCCTGATTATCTTTATTCTTTGTTAAGACAAGACCTGACCAGATTAGCCTTTGGTGTCTGTGGGAACATCTAAATTTGTAATTTATTTATATTCTCTTTCACATTTAAATGAATAAAATAATGTGTGTGGTTAGACTAGTTAACAATGCTATGCTAAACTAGGACACTAAACAAACAGGTATTAAAGACAAAACAGACAAGATGAATATATTGCTATCAATTGATATTGCTTGAATCCAAACTATAGGACATACTTGTATCATTTCTTTTCAATTTTTGTTTCAGAAGGAAGAACACGGAAGCGAAGAAGAACAACAGAAGTTGTGGATATTGAAGACCGTCTAGAATCTCTCATCACACGTGTAGGAGAAAAAGTATGTGTACATGCATGTAGAGAGCTTAGTTTTTTTCCTCACCATGATTGCTGCTTTGCCACTCACAAATCGTACCTTTGCCAGTTAAAAAAAAGACCCTCTGAGACCCGGGGTAGAAGTTATTGGCTTTCAACTGGTAAAAAATGGAAAAACTGAAATGTTCAATTGAAAGGCCGCGTGCAAGAACGTCCCCTAGATTTTTCGGCCATTTTTGAAAGTGCTTAAAACTAGCTGAATTTTGGCATGTGGGCTTTGTTTCA